TGATTTAGCAGAGAAGCATCAGATGTTGAATGGTTTACCAATTGTATGACGTCAAATCAATATACCTTGGCCACAGTCCTTAAATATATGAAGAACAACAGAAAAGAAGGGGCTACAAGGTCACCTTGTTTGACACCATTTAATACATTGATGGGCTCTGAAAGTAAACCACCAACATTAACTGATATCTTCATATCATCATGAAGTGACTGTATTATATTTATGAAATGGTGAGGACAGCCTGAGTCTATCAAGATCTTCCACATAAGTTCTCTGTTTATAGTGTCAAAATCCTTAGTAACATCTATAAAGACCTGAAATAGACCTTCTTCTTGTTCACACAACTTCTCTTGAAGTTGTCAAATTATGAAAATCATATCCATAATTTCCATATTAGGCTGGAAGGTACATTGTTCCTCTGGCAGTATTGTGTCCTTAATATGAACATTCAGTAAAGACAGCAAAATCCTCCTTAGGATTTTACCTGCTGACAAAAGTAAAGCTATACCATGACAATTTCCACACAAGTTCCTTATAATACCATGTCCAAGCTTTGTAACATCTTTTGATCTAAGAGGTGTTACTGAGGCCGTTCTTGAATCAAAGGCCTGCTTCATAAATTTGTATGGCTCTTGACTATTTTATCTGTTTGCAGCAGCCTGCATTTCTGCAGCTAAGACCTCCAAGTGTTCTCCATTTCATGGAGCCAATGTTGAGCATTGATCTTTAAATCTTTGAATTGTCATTCTAACTTATATGTTCCTCTAGCAGTATTGTGTCCTTAATATGAACATTCAGTCAAAGAAGCAAAATCCTGATTGGGATTTTTTACCTGTTGACAAAAGTAAAGTTATACCACAACTTCCTTATACCTTTGCCTTTGCATAATGGTATCATGATCACACCATTCCAGTCTTTTGTTATTCTTCCAGATGTTCAAAGGGATTCTATACATGATATCAGCAAAGAGATCACCACCATATCAAAGGATTTCAACAAAAATACTGCTTCCCCCAAGTTCAAGTTTCTGACAGATGCATTTAATTCCTCCATGATATGAAGATTATTCATAGATTCCACGATTGATATTTGCTGGAAGTGGTTAAGAGCAGATTAGTCCACATGGTTATCCCTGTTGAGCAAACTTGAAAAATTTATTTTAACCTCTTACCAATTTCCATCATGCTGCTAAGAACATTTGTCCCATCTTTTGATCAAAGAGGTGTTACTGAAGCCATTCTTAAACCGAAATCCTGCTTCATGAAGCCTGTAAAGTTCTTTACAATTCTTTATCTCTGTAGCACAGAGATAAAGTGTTTACCATTTCATAGAGCCCATGCTGAGCATTAAGTCTTTGAATTGCCATTCTAACTGTTGCTGGATGCTTGTGGGCATTCCTTTTTGTAATATGCACTCCCTTATTTTGTTCTTATTTGAAAAAATATTTTTAACAACTTGATCAGTTTCATTATTTACATTATTCAGACTATTGTCATCTTTGCCGCAATATTTATTACAACATTTTGGCCGTTGTATGCTCCAGCCTTCGTCAGGTGGTTGGGATGTCGAACTGAACCCTTTATTTCATTCACTGGGGTAGACTGTTCTATTTCCACATGCCATCTCTAATGGATGTCAGTTATCTCCTGTTAATTTCCCTCTGTAAGTTCCCACTGCCTTAACACGGTATTGAACTCACACTCTTTGGGTCCTGTCCCTGGGTCTAACTAATGTCTTTATCCACTGTGCCATGTGTTCTCGAGGACACATGACACAGTGATAACTGATAACTGACTGAAATATGGTGACAACGATGAGGACAATAGTCTGAATAATGTAGATAGTGTACATAATACCTCATCTCAGAAATATAGACAGATAGTGAAAAATTGTGTTGATTGTAATTGAATCATTAGGAACAGTGTCAGAGACTTTTGTTCATTGGTTGAGTGCATTAGGTTTTCCCAGTACGATTTTATACATTGCAGCAGACCAATTTGCTTGGCACAGCATGAACAATCAGAAAAGCACTGGATACTTAAGGCTGTGGGATGTAGTTTGATAACAAATAAGTGCAAAACCAGCTAATAACATCCAATAAGAAGTCTTCTGAGGATGTCGACATTTCAATAGAATAACAGGATTAACTTAAAAATGGGCAAATATCAAGACGTAACTAATGAGCTGCAGAAATTGTGAAATATGAACTTGACAATTGTGACAATAATCATCAGAGTACTGGGAACAGTTCCAAAGATCTTTCTGGTGTCAAAATTTGAGAGAACATTTATGCACCAAGCTGTTGAGGTCAACAAGAATACTGAAAAGGTGACACTGAACATTTGAAGAAGATTTCCATTACATAATCTCCAATAATAATCACCAGATGATAATAATAAGAACAATAATGAGGTCACTTAGAGCAGACGTTCCAAAATCTTTTTTGTGAAAGGTCAACTTGATAAAGGTCTCTGTCTATATTTCTGAGATGAGGTATTATGTAGATTATTTACATTATTCAGACTAGACTATTGTCCTCATCTTTGTTGCCATATTTATTACGTTTCTGCCGTTGTATGCTCCAGCCTACTTCAGGTGGTTGGAATGTCGAACTGAACCCTTTATTTTTCTCACTGGTGTAGACTGTTCTAGTTCCACATGGCACAGTGGATAAAGGCATTAGTTAGATCCAGTGACAGGACCCAAAGAGTGTGAGTTCAATACCTGGTTAGAGGGAAATTAACAGGAGATAACTGATAACTGACATCCATTAAACATGGCATGTGGAACTTGATCAGTCTACCCCAGTGAGCGAAATAAAGGGTTCAGTTCAGCATTCCAACAATGAAGAAGGCCAGAGTGTACAACGGCCAAAACGTTGTAATAAATATGGCAACAAAGATGAGGACAATAGTCCAAATAATGTAAATAATTTTGATAAAGGTCTTTAGCTCTTTAATGACTATTTCAAACAAATTTGTTTGTTATTTATTTGTCTTTTATTTATTTGTTTATTTTTATTTTATTTATTTATTTACTTTTAGTTATTTTGACTTCTCCCAATTTATATCATTGACAGGTTGAAAAATGTTTAAAACCCAGTGATCTTAATTTCTCCTTATTTGTAATGGACCAAGATTTGGAAACAAAAACAATTTTTTCTTCTTTAATTCCCAAATTTTCTTTTCAGGCAAGTAATTCTGATTTTCTGTTTCTTTCAAGAATAAAACAAAAATTAAAGTAAATTATTTTGTTAATTTCTTCCTCTCCACTCTTTCTATCTCCCCCTCTCTTTCTCTCCCTCTCTCTCTCAATCTCTATCCTTCTCTCTCTTTATCTCTCCCTATATATATATATATATATATATATATATATATATATATATATATATATATATACTATGTTTATACATGCACATATATATGAAGAAATGTAGTTTTAAGGTGTCCTATATTTATGGTATAAAGTGCTCAATATCAGAGACAGAGCATATGTAAATATAAAAGTGAACATTGAAGTCAACACTTAGAGGCGACGATTGCATCTAGCATGAAACAGCCTGTCACCTTTGAGTGTTGACTTCAATGATCACTTTTATATTTATATATATATATATATATATATATTATATATATATATATATAAAATCTACCTCCATTCCTACCGTGCGCGTGTATATTTCAGGGCAGAGGCAAAACAATTTTCATTTATATTCATATATATTGTCATTTATTCAAGTCCAGTGGAAGACCAATAAAAATGTTTTGTTAATTTTTATTTTAATTTTCTACAGTTTTTACTATATTTATTTTAATTTATTTAATTTTATTTTTTTAATTTCTCTATAGTTCTGATTTTTCTGCTTTCCAGGGAAAAATTGAACATAAATTGTCCAATGTCTTTGTCTTTCAAAAGCCATTACCAAAAGGTTTTGTTTTGGTGTTGATAAGGTTGTGTCTATATGTATGCAGTGTGGTTCTGTTGGCCAAACATTTTTGATTTCACTAGAGGTTCTTTTGGTCAACAAGTTTTGATCAACCATGTTGCTTGTAATAAACACACCTATGCATAAATAAAAACATATATTTTCTATGATTTGTTTACTTTTAATACATCTTAATTTCATAGAAGATTTTCAGACTAATGTTATTTGAGTTGGTTATTGCAAAGGTTTGATATTTGAGTTTTAATATTAGCCCTGAGGTTCTGGAAATATCAAAATAAAATATTTTCTCCTTCAATCAAAAATTATTGTCGACTTTAAAATTTTACATTAAAATCAATAAATATAAAGGTCTTGCAATCAGATTATTTCTTTCAATCAAGAGAACTGAAATCCTGCTAATAACAAACTAACATTAGAGGTTGTGTCATGAACGATTAAAAATCCAGAAATCTCATTGACTTCTCTAAAACTAATATGGAATTATTGTTTGAAATGTTATAACAGTTCTTTGTCATTAGTTATGGTTAATTTGTATATCATTCAACAGTAAAGATTTATATTTGTTTTGGTTTTAAAATCACTTTGAAGTACATCATGGTCAAGAAATCTCACTAACCCAATTTGAAAAATCAAAAGTAGTCTATTAGAAACTCCTACTCCAACATACTAGACAACAAGAAACCAATAAATAAACATCATCTTAGATTAGAAATTTCATTGGACAAAAAACAATAATAGAATATAGCCAAAATTAAAAAGAACCAATCATATCAACTTATTAAGATCTCATTGATTTGATATCATGTCTGGCACAAGAACAACTATGAAGAAAAATGAAAACCTGACACAGACGATTAAGACTAACATAAAAAACTGTCAAATTCATGTAAAAAATCAAAAACAGAAAACCAAATTATTTCTCAACAATCAACAAAGACTTATTATAAACAAGGGATAATAATTCTGTTTAATTTTTTAATACAGGACAGGAGAATAGACACATAAGGGATGGATTTTTTATAGAAACTCTGCAAAGTGATAAAAATGTACCTACTTGGTAAGAGTTTTCAAAAGGATGACACCAGCAATCACTTCCATAGAAGCAGTAAGAAAGAAATTGAGGAACCGGTCACCAGCAAGGAAATTAGAAGTCATGTAGATTCCAAAATATGTGAAACTGATCATCAACCTGAAATGAAGAAAAAAATTTTAGTAAGCAATTTTTAGAAAAGCAACAAAAACAATGTGCCCTTAAAAAAATAAAAGAGGCAAATGTTTTTTGTTCCTTCAATTCTTGCACATTGAGCATGAAAGTAAAATTATAATTGTCTGTGTTTCTACGATGTATAACAGTATTTGGAACAAAAATGATGTGACAAAGTGATAAATTTTGTTAAAGACATGTTTCAAAAGAGAAGGATATGATTTCTTTGGCTTTTTATGTTTAAATGAAGACATCTTTAAATTGAAGAAGCCAAAAAGGACATTCATGTTCTTCTTTCTTCTCTGTTTACTTTTTTCTTATTTATTATTAAAAAATAATGGAAACACTAATAATAAAAATGAAAAAGCTAACACTCAATATTATCAACTATGAACATGGTCACAATGTGCTGACCGTGTTTGGAAAATAAAAAGAAAACCCAACACTCTAGAATCATATAAAAAAATCTACACAGTCAGTTAAAAATAAAAAAAATAAGAAATATCCTTGATAATGGCTAATAGAATATCTGAAAGTGCTCTGATATATAGAATATTTGGACAAATTTTTTACACCCTGTGTCCTGAAAAGAAAACACTTATACGAAGACAAGAAAAATTAAATAAAAAGCTTAATGAGGCAGTACCTTGTCAGTTGTCATTAATGAAACTGGTATATATATATATATATATATATATATATATATATATATATATATATATATATATAAAATTAATGGTCAGAGTAGAATTAGACCAGGAAACGGTAGTATTAAAAATGCTCATAACTGATAACGGACATAAATGCTCATAACTGATATCTGAAACTTATCATAATGCTCACGTATAAAAAATACATATAAAAATTAGATCAGCCGATTCCGAAATCACCTGAAGATACTGAAAGGTTAAAACCAAGGTAGCAGAATCGACTGATCTAATTATATATATATATATATATATATATATATATATATATATATATATATATATATAGAGAAAGAGTGTGTGTATGTGACAGAGAGAGTAACAGAAAGAGAGAGTGTGTGTCTGTGTGTGTGACAGAGAGAGACACAGAGAGAGTGGACATATATTGCATGTAGACTGTCAATTTCATGGCTCACTTGAGTCTTATGAAAAACAAATACATACCAATTAAAAATATTGATGAACGAGATTTTTCTGGTACCAGAATCCCGTAGAACCATAACGACTGGAACTGATGAGTTTTTGCCCATCTTTTGACATTCTTCAGATCCAGGGTTTGCCATTTTACTTTTTTTTTCATTCAAAATTTTCATTTCCATAACATTTTGATTTTCAATATTATCCATTTTCTCTGCATCTGACAATTCTTCAAGATATTCCACATTTTTACGCCAAATGGCGTCAAAATCGACGTTATTCTGCTTTGCTGCAAAGGCGATAATTTTCTTGCCTTCTTCTAATCTTCCTTGGGCAAAAAGCCAACGAAAAGATTCCTTGATGTACCTGGATTATTAGAAGAAAAAACATGAAAAAATTTTAAAGCAGTTAACATTTAACAATATATTGTTCATAAAAGAGTAGAACACACATCTGTATAGATAGATAGATAGATAGATAGATAGGAGTCATGCATTATCATGCCCAGTGCGTACTACAATCAAACCCCTTTGATCAGAGGCCCCTGAAAGTGTTTTGTGAACCTTGTTATCCTATCAACATTTGTTTTTTCTACTGACATTTATATACGTTACAAATTAAACTAAGCACAACTGACTACTAAAGGATGAAAGTTTTTCACAGATTTTGACGTCATTCCGGGTTTTTTTTCCCATCCAAATCCATTAATTTGTTTTACTTAAGCTATGTCTAAAAAACACTATATCAAATTCATTATTTTTATTTATAATGTTGAATGTATTAAAATTATTCAACTTTTAACAAAAAAATCTTAAGATCATGTAAAAAATTAGCACAAAACATTGTTGATTTATTTAAGATGAAATAATCTATTATGACATGTCTCTAATTTGTATTTCGATACATTGCATTGTTTTCAATTTTTCTAGTTGAATTGTTCACCTACATTGCATATGATCCATTATTGTACATAATTAGGTTACAATAAAATTTCTATTTTATATGAGTACCACCATATGAAAATTGAGTTACAGTAGAGTGGGGGCCACATATCATAGATTTAAGTGGCACAAAACCCTTGCACCAGCCTTGCGCATTATATATATATATATATATATATATATATATATATATATATATGCCTACGGCAATCCGTTGTCAAATTTCTGGTGAAGTGAATTTTGTCATGGTGCTCTTTTTCTAACAAACGGTACCCAACTGACCCTACTATACTGTGCAGTCAACAAAATCAAAAACAAACAATGCACATGCGTGAAATTAAAACTATAAAATTATAAAATGGCGGCAATTTACCAATCGTACCCTGTATATATGTATTAATAAATAAATTGTTCAAATTACTTGTCTCTACTCAGAATTTCACGACCATTTTTTGTTGTAACAACATATTTGCTATAGTGCACAGTGAGTGATGGTGATAATAAAATAGCGCTAATATGGATATTACGAATCAATATATATTGGTTCCTCACCCTCATATATATATATATATATATATATATATAAAGGTTAAAGACAAGAGGAAAAATGTATTATTAGCCGACGCGTTTCGTCCAATGTGTACTTTTTCAAAGCAAAAACGAAATGAATTTATTGAAAACAAAATAACTATTAACAACAAAACAAAATGTCCTTAGCAACTAAAAGAATTTAGAAAACGCTATTGTATCCATATATTTCTAAATTCTTTTAGTTGCTAAAAGTGTATACTTTTATGTATATATATATATATATATATATATATATATATATATATATATATATACACACTTTTACCCATAAATATATCATAATTTAAATATTTTTATCATCAGTTTATATATATATATATATATATATATATATAATAGAGAGAGAGATGAAATGGAGAAAAGAAACAATGAAGAGATAGATAGATAGATAGATAGATAGATAGATAGATAGATAGACAGGCAGGCGTGTTTGATGAGTGTATAATTAAATAAAATCATTAAAAAGTGTATTAATAGAATTTAAGATTTGTTGGTGGCATGTTCTCATTGAGGAATAATCTCTGTTCTGATTTCACACAAATTTATAAAATTAAAAATATATATGCAGATATCAGTTGCCATACTTTCAAATTTGATAATTGTAAAGAACACGGAGTTCCAATACGTCTGTAAAAGTCAGGCGTAGATTTTACACTATATCGATATTATAGACATGTCCCTCTTCTAAGCTGATAAAAAAAAATCAATATTTTTCGATTCTGACGTGTCGCGGCCTAAAGAAAATGTCATGATCATTATTCTACAAAAATAATTTTCTCTATTTTTTATGAGTGGAACAGTCTATTTAAGTCGTGACGTATTCAGAGCGTCCTCAGTAATACATAATAAGAATAGCTAAAGTGATTTTCTAAGCGTAGTTTAGATGTGTTACAAGGCCGAAAGTATAGGGCACCCAGTGAGGATCGAACTCACTACTCAGTCGTAACTGATCTAGCGAGATAAGGAGTAAGGGTAGTTAAGGTCGCTACGAAAATAAGGAAAAGACAAACTATGAACAAGCAAGTCTTGTGTAGGCTACGTGCAAACAGGTGGCTGAAGCAGCTGATCGAACTCTGATGCTACTATTATGATATGAACGTGTGTTTTCGCGTTACTAAGCTTATGGTGGCAAAACGAAGAAGAAAAAACGAAAATTTAAAACAATAAACAATTGTATTAACATAAAAAAACACTAAATGACAAATCATGATAGACGTATGTCGTAAGAAAAGACAATGAGATAAGTGGAATTGTAAAGGCACCTGGTGAGGCGTATGGAAGGAGAGAGAAGATGAGTTGTGACTTACTTGGGGAACGTCATTGACGAACTGGTTGAGTCTGATATCTTTGGAGATGGGGAGGTTGCTGTTTAACGAGTGTGTGAATTCGGTGGCACGGTGGATAGCGGCTCGGATAGAGGAATCGGAAAGCCGATTTCAAATTCCAGTCGAATCCATTACATTCACTTACGTGCTAATACTCTTGGGAAAGGTATTAATCTTCTTCCCCCCGCGACTAAATAGCAGGACATCCTGGATTCTATAGCCTTGGATGGCAACTGGTCTACCGCAGAAAGAAATGGCAACCTACTGCAGGAAAAAAAATCTGCCTCGTCAGTCATGTATCGAAAGATGATCGCCTAAGCGTGTATCACGCATGGTACATAACTGATTGAATTCTTGTCAAGATGCCGTCCAAGTGTCAAATGTCTCTTTGATGGGCTTTTTTTTCTTTTCTTTTTTTTTTTTTTTTTTTTTGTCCTTTTTGGGACTCAAATCGGCTCCAGTTTTCATTTTCTTTCTTTAGGCAGAAGCGGGCGCTGTTGCTAGAAATTCAGGATTGTGTTGCTTTTTCTTTTCTTTCAGTGTCTGAGTAAACACAAGATATGTGCAGAGCCTTGTGCAGCTGACAGATTTTTAGTTGAGTTTTGGGCGTTCGGAACGTTTACATCCGGCTAATGTCGGAAATTAGTGTAGCGTGAATCAGAAGAAGATCTGATTTTGGGAAGAATGTAACACTACGCTATTGTACAATGACTAAAAAGCTAATCTTAGAGACCGATACTATTGTTGTAGGTTTTATGCTAAGTGACCAATAGTTGTGTCCTTGTGTTAAAGTAATCATTTAATAAATACGATAAAATTGAATCGACAGTGTACATTTACTTACCACATCTCAAAAATGCATATGGATGCTGTGGAGGCACATACAGCAGCAAGAACTCTCCAGCTATAATTCTTAAGCAAAAAACCGAAAACTCCCAGTAATGTGACGCCAATTCCCCAGTTCACCGCAATGAGGCCAGACATTAATGTTCTTTTGTTAGCAGGAAAAATTTCACAAGCGAGCGACGTTCCTGAAATAAGACATGCCTGGAAAAAAAAAAAAAAAAAAAAAAGGTTAAACATTCTTAAGTCAGAAAGACAAAGGTGAGAATTTTTGGAGGACGATACAAACATCAAATTTTTAATCATGGTTTTCATACATTTTCCACATAAAAGTCAATATATTTCCTTAACTATTTTATTGCTGTATGCAACATTAGTTAAATGACTAACAAATAGTTAAATTTAAATCCAGTCAGTTATAAATGTCCATATTATTTTGGTTAGCAAGTTGCTAGGAGCCTCAAGTGTTCCCTAATTTGAATTATACGGCTATTTACTCAAGTTTGCATCGAGTTTGTAATTCTTTCATAAAAACTACCCATTCTTTTTTTTTCACTTTATTTTTTTAAATTTAATTATCGTTTATTGCGACTGATAATTATTTTACAATTTCCTGAAAGTCAAGATACAATAGGAGTAGATAGGTTCGCCTATCGTTCGGTTTACACTCCTCTTCGTTTTTGTTTTGAACAGGAGTAGAGGTTTATCCCTTGTTCCCTGTTTAGGATTGAATTTTTGGTTCCTTATAAAATCTTTTAATTAATCCATTTTAAAATTATATCATGTAAGTAAAGTTCTTTCTATTATATACTGATTCTGACTAGCATACCCATCTTGGTTATTAATATCATGACGTTTCAGCTATGGTACCTGCTAACCTTCTTCAGCTGTTTGTCATAAATGATAAAATTTCAAGAATTTTGAACCAAATTTTTTATTAAATTCATGTGGATAGAGTGTTCTTATTTTTAAACGAAATATCAGTTAATTCTATCCAGTTAAAATCTCCCCTGATTCAGAATAGAATTTAATAGGGTAAGATAGGTTCGCCTCTTGATCTTTTGATCAGGAGTAGAGGTTTATCCTTTGTACTCTTTTTAGAATTGAGTTTCCGGTTCCCTATAAAATCCTCTTTCACTCCCAGCAGCCTCTTGCGTCTTAGTGACATTATCGCCTTGCTCGTGATGAATTGATTAAAAAAATTCTAACTTTTTAATTTTCTTCTTTATGCAATGTTATTCTTCATTATCTCCCTTTAAAATTTCTCTTTTTTTTTTCTCTCATCCGAAAAAAAAATACACAGAACAGCAGATATGATAGCCAAATGAATAATGTTAAGCTTTCAGTCGATTGCGAAAGTACTTATGATAACTTTTTATTGAAGGAAAGACTTTCTTTTGAAATACGCATAAATGAGTTATCTGATGTGGAGCCCATAAGAATTTCCCACTCCCTTTCAGGAAGAGGGTAAGGTGTCGAGTTACTGACTCAGTTCGGTAAAAATATATCCTCTTCTTGCATTCTGTGTTTGGCGATGCATAAATAACTTGTGTCGGTTATTTCGCTCGCCTCTTCCAAGATAACAGACCCAAAAGAAAAATTTCAAACATTTACTTTTTTTACAGCAAAATGGAACTAACATTACTTTGCAGAAATTTGATCAGAGTAAGTCTGGATTGTTCTTGATCGGAAGTTCAACTGAAAAGACCAATTTATTGCTAGACGACAACAGCAGAAACTGTTTAACAATAAAAGCGAAATAAAAACAAAAATAACCTGTTGGCAGATTCCACACAGCAATCTGGTTGGGGCAAAAATCCAGTAACTTGGAGCCATTGCAGAAATTCCTGCGGAGATTACCATAATAAAGTTGCTGAGTATATGTATCGGTTTACGTCCATAGTGGTCAGCAAAAGACGGGAAAACAAGGGCTCCAATACCTTGTCCAGCAATAAAAAGTGATTGCGTGATTTCTCCCATACCAGATTTCGAGCACACCAGGTCCCACTGTAAAAGAGAAGGATTTAGCTTGTTGATTATGTATAAGCAGGACCGTAGCAGGCCGGGTTGGGGCTTGGCTCCCCACAAATTTTTATCAATTGTAGTATTTTTAAAGGGTTTTGTTTTAAAATACAATAAAGAAAGAAATACAAGAAAGAAAAAATACTATCAAACAAGGAAGAATACAATTTTCATAAAACCCCGATGAAAGGATTCTTCTTTAAATGTGTACGATGATGGTAATCTCCCTTTTTCCTGTGGGTTGCGTTTTCATTTTAATTTGGAATTGTGGAGAGTTCAATAAAATAAAATATAAAACTAGAAATGTCAAATTAAGACAAAGCATATGCTTTCCCTTAAAAACATTATCTTTGAAAATTTGTTATTGCCGCTAACCATTGTTGGCGGCCTTTGATAACTTAAGGCTAAATTTTTAAAATCTAAAACATATTTGTCTCTGTTACGGCCCTGATAAGATATTTGAAATGAATAAATCCACTATTTTAGATTCCAATACTCAATATGCAACGTACATCAGACACGTCTTTCAAGCGCTCTAACTTTTTTTATTCCCTTTTTTTTTCAGGTAGATAATATCAGGTATCAAGGTGACTCAGTAAATTAAAAGGTGCGCTATAATCTTTGCCTTAAGAGTGCAACATATCGATAGAGAGACAGAGAGATAGCTCACGATCTGAAAGTTGTCCGATCTATCATTATCAAAGTTAGAATGGATCTGATAGCTTGGTATCCAATAAAAAGTAACTAAATGCAAAAGGCTCCTAATGCCATCAGAACAACTTTGTACGAAAGGTCCAGAAAATAATTGATAAGAACCGCCGGAAAAAATAAGCAGAGCCACTACAAAGGACTTTAAGGTTCCACAATGTCACCATTAGAAGAGATGTCAATGAGGACATCCGCTGCGTGTCGTATGACTGAAGGGACAACAGAGATTAATTTGATTCGGACGAAGTGCTTGCTAAACAAACTGAAATGCCTGGAATCCTTTTTTTCTCCGATGAGAAAAACTTTCATCGGAATCAAAAGGTACAGCAAACTTATACAGAGACCCAACTGAGGTTCCAAGGATTAGACATAGCAAGTTCCCCGCAATTTTTATGGCTCTTGGCGTCGTCAGCAACAAGACTCGTCACTACTTTCTTCAGGGCTTAAGAGTTAATGCTATTGTCTATCGGGTGATGGACATAGTTATGAAGCCGTGGATAGACGGCGTACACAGCGGAAGACAAGACTCTATACCGGAATGGATGCATGACAATCTCCTTGATCCATGTTCTCGCAAACACATGGTCGCTTCGCTCACCAGACCTGAATCCTCTGGACTATTACGTATGTGGCGTAGTCGAGGGGGAGATTAATCAACGCCTGCATAACACCATAATATCTCTCAAATCCGCCATAATGAAGACTATGCCCCAAATTGATAAAGACCATCTCATTCGGACATGTCACTGTTTCCGAACCCGTATGGAAGCAGCTATTGAGGCTAACGGCGGATCTGATAAAAGAATTCTCAAGATTATTTGCACTGATCTGTCTTCAAATAAAGCTTTTATTTCATGAGCTTTGCGTTCTAGACAAACTGACGCACTCCGTATATATATACAAACCCAATCGAGAGAATCTGTGTCGTTTTTTGAAAATTCAAATGCAATCGAGAGCTTCAACAAACATCCAAGATCTGAAGACCATATACAAAGAAGAATAGAACAAAATACCAACTAAAATTTGCAAATCATTAATTCAGAACTACAAAAAGAGGTTGGTTGCTGTAGAAGTGAATAATGACTATTCTATAAAGTATTAAACGAAGATTATGCATTCTTTTTTGTATTGTACAAATACTGTTTTCAGTCATCAAAATGGATAAATGAGATTTATTTCAATTAAATAATTTTTTTTTGTTTTCTATGCATATTTAGTTACTATGCATCTCTGTAGAGTTAATTATATGAAAAGTATGTTTATTCATTAGTTGGAAAAAAATAAATTAAAAATTTTATGTGTACGAACATTCCCCCCTCACTGTATATATATATATATATATATATATATATATGTGTGTGTATGTATGTACTCGCGCGCGCGTGTGTGTGTGTGTGTGTGTTTAAACCGTCCTGGGTATGACGATAAACTACATCCGGCAGCAAGGCCTCTGATTGGGAGGGTTTGAGGAGCGTAAAAAACCTCTTAATTGTTGTTGTTCGCAGGTCCACATTGACCCAGGGTGGTAGCACCTGTTAGGGTCCCAGCTATGGGCAAATAAAAAACCCTCAAACTGTGTCAAAATGTCAAACAAGGGTCAAATGTATAAAAACTTTTAGAGTAAAAATATCCGCAATACATTTTCATAGTTAAAAAATTACCAACAACACATTTTTGAAAAAATAAATTAACAGCAATATATTTTTGTAAAGGAAATTAATAATGCTCCCAAGAAAATTAAATTTTGCAATTAAATGACCCATAAGGAATTAATATGCCGCTAAACAAACAAACACCAACATTATATGTTTCAAATTTAGTCATTTTATTTACTTTTTCAGCAAATATTTACTTTGGCATGATGACTCTTATATATAAAGTTTATAATCTTTATGTATTTGTATATGAAGTTCAAAACTTGAATCTATCAGTTTTTCTAAAATATTCAATGTGAGATATTTTGGGGGTTTAGTAGGCTTTCCACTTTGATCTCTACATCATTTTTACTCTGTTTTTTTTGTTTTTTTTTTGTTTTTTTAAATACCTTTTTTTTCTCTTAGCCTCCGTGAAAACCTATTTCTATAGAATTGAACCATTTAAAAATGTTGATGAGTTTGTTTGCAATAATGTATGTGTGTTGGAATAAAAGAATGAAGCAGTGACTTTTGGGATATTCTGTTTGAAAACGTCTTCACAGAATGATACGAATCTTTGTGAAAAATATCACTCGAGTATTAGATTAAATAAAAATTAGTCGTTTATTTCAATTTTATGGATCAATTCCTAAAATCTTTTTTATTTGTTTGTCTTAACTGGTATAAAAAACATCCATTTTAAAGACACACAGACGTACATTTTCTGTTCAAGGTTGATTGTTAAAATTAGTCTACTTAGTGACTTCAAAAAATTCTAATATTAAGGATATGTTGACAAACTAAAAATCAAAACAAGTCTTTCACTGAAAAATTGAAAAATCAAAACATATCTATCATTTTGTAGTTGAATGCCTCGTGCAGAAATAAGGTTCTGTGTTTGGAAATATTTTAATAATTTGCAGTAAATATAACCTTGTTTGCCATAATCTTGTCCAAAAGAATGATTATTGCGATAAATGAATTCGAAAGCATATTCCTTATATATGAGTAAAAACGTATGTAAATGAGATCCTACCTCAGTTATGATAGATGTATCCAAGGGGGCATCATATTCGTAGCCATTAATACAAGGCATCGTTTGTAGAAGCGTCGAACTGTTGAGCGAATTATTATATAGGCGGATATTGCAGGTGTCGTACACTGGAGCTATACTCTCATCACTTCCCGTGTACTTCGAGAATTGTAAATCTGTCATATTCTTACATGTATATTTTGGAGGATACCCTGTTGGTAAAAAAAGAAAATGTTAAATTTGGGAAAAGAGAATAACAAGGTTGTAGATATATTAAGTTCTGAATTCGTCTAATAATTGACCTGATCATCAGGCGGCATCTTACGAAAGTTTGTTCACACGATATATTCACAATAACATAATATAGTTGTACAGCCAGATAAAGACCAACTGATCCCCCTTTAACGGTCTTCAACAATCTTGGTCCTCTCGACCTCCACGAATTTATATATTAACACATTTTTTTAATTTTTATACGTTCTTTTTATAGATACAAATTTTTAAGTAAGTGCTCTGTTTATAATAAACAGTATTAACAACATTTACCGGCCTGAATGTCCGATAAAAAATATGCGTTCTCCGGCAGGAATCGAACCTGTATCCTATACGGAACCGTCATATAGCCTGATGTGCTTTACCGATTGAGCCACAGAGGAGCGTTTCGGTTAGCAGGGTCGATTTTACTGCTTTTAAACCACAATTCTCCATGACGGTTCCGTATAGGCCGGTAAATGTTGTTAATACTGTTTATTATAAACAGAGCATTTACTTAAATATTTGTATCTATAAAAGAACGTATGAACATAAAAAATGTCTTAATATATATATATATATATATATATATATATATATATATATATATATATATATAAAGGTTAATGGTCAGAGATGAATCAGACCAGGTAACAAAATCCGAAATTTTAAGCCCTTGCCCTCACATAAAATTTTTTTTTTAAGTGAATATGAAGCCTGTGAAAACAAATCTAATTCACAACCCAGCTGTTACTCTTTAGACAAGCTAGCCACCCCACCCCTATAACAATTAAGTTACACATTTGCTTTCCCTCTTTACTGTATACATCTACAATACACTTGCATTTCCGTTCCTTTCCATTCCTTTTTTTTATTATTCAACCTTCTTTTCCTCTTCTTTTCCATTACACTCAATGATCTGCCTTTCAATCATCATGAGCCTGTTTTTTTTTTTTGTTGTTGTTGTTGTTTTTTAAGATAATTATGTGGTGTTTTGAAATAAAGCGTTAAAATGGTCATTTTAAATCTATCGCCTGAAGAGAACGTCAGGTCGAAACAATGGTCGCGTTTTTCAATTGACCCCCTGAATTTTAAAGTGTATATATATATATATATATATATATATATATATATATATATATATATATATATATATTATTTATTTATTTGAAAATTATAACATAAATATGTTATAAAATCACTATAAAAATAGCCATTTTGTTTCAACACCTCTGGTGTCTTATCAAGTGATGATGTTGAATGTAGAATAAAGGGTTTTAAAAAGTTCAAATCAATTAACCACCCCTCGCAAGGGGAAACGCTGTTACATAAGCTGAAATGACCAATCAAAATACAAGTATATGAGAATTCAAAAAACTTGACAACAAACTAAGCTTATAATAACTATTTAATGCCTTAATATTGGGATTAGACTAAAATAAAATTTATTCTAACTAATAAGTATTAAATTATACGATAAAATTTGAAATTAAAATTACCCATTTTAAAAATTAATCTGTATTAATTTTAAAATTATAAAATTGCTGAGGAAAAAATACATATGTTATTCTATTTATTTTGTTTTTATTGAAATTAAGTTGGAATAAACGTTAATATCAACTGTTGTTCTGAGCTTCATGACAACATAGATATATTTCAATTCTAAATATAGGCAGGGGAGGATGGCATCTTGCAAAAGACAATACATACACAATCAGATTATAATACATACGCACGCAGACGTATTTAGATATATACACACACAAAAAAGTGACGAGACAGGAAATATCTTCACGACCCTTTACAAAAAAAAAAAAAACAAAACAAAAATAAAACATACCTACACAGTTCGGTAATAAAAATTTAACTGTGAATGATACAACAACAAAAAAATAACGTCGAGAAACTAATACAGAATTTATTCATTTCAATGTTTCAGTCAGATGAAAGGCACGAGACAGTGGCCAGGGAAGAGTGGAAGGTATTTGTCTTAAAAGGAAGAGGTTTTATAAAATTAGACACGGATATTAACCTTATGACATTAAATTGGGGTTATATGAAGAATGAAATGTTAATTTAAAACTAAGAGAGGAATAAAAAGGGTTTAAAAACCTTTAAAATATATAGAAAAAGTTATATTTAAAAATACAAAATCATACCTAAAAGTAAAAAATCATATTCCAAAAAAAGTTATATATAAAAATAGGATGAAATTAAATAAGTTATATTTAAAAAAATAAGTCACATTTAAATAATTTAATTTAAAAATAAGTAAAATTAAATTAAAAAAAAATTTATATTTAATAAAAATAAATATAAATAAATATTTTTATTTACATATTTTAAAAAATTATTATTTATATTTAATAAAATAAATATAAATATAAATACATAGGTTATATTAAAATAAATATATATTAAAAAAATCAAAATATAAGATAAGAAAAATATCTATTTAAAAATAAAAACATAAAGAAAAAATATAAAAACGTTATATTTAAAATAAGATATATTTAAAAACAAATTATATTTAAAAAAAAACAACAAAGTTATACTTAAAAATACAAAGTTATATTCAAAAACAACCTTAAATATATAGATAAAGAGATGTAAGTGGTAAAAAGAAAGAGAGTTCTTAGAACAGGGGACAATTTATAAGATAAAATTAATATAGTAAATCTATGACGGAAAATTAGAATTAATTATGCATTTGACATATGAAGAGTTAGAGAACTATAATGGCTAATTAAGTAAAACCTATATTATGGAAATTTGAATTTGTTTTTATGCCGACATTTTCATAGTAATTCATGATTTTGTATTTTACTGTATATAATATATATATTAATAAATATACATATACCTTTATATATATATATATATATATATATATATATATATATATATATATATATATATGCATATACCTTCTTAAGTTTTGCTATTTTTTAGCAACTCATCTGACACGAGATATCTCGTGCCTGATGAGTTGGTAAAACAACGAAACTTAAGTCTCACCCGAAACGTAGGTGTATGTATATTTATTAATATATATTTCTTAGGTCTGCCTAACCATATCGGGCACTGTTATGTTAAGTAAATTTAGTAAATATTTGCTTACCTGTGTATTTACCAACCTCTCTCCCCCCCTCTCTCTCTCTGTATATATATATATATATATATATATATATATATATATATATGCATACATAAGTGGACATTGAAGTTAACACCCAGAGGCGACAGTTTAAGCATGAAACTTTGTTTTTTGTCAGTATATATATATATATATATATATATATATATATATATATATAACTGTATTGGAATGGATTTTTATTAATCCAACAGATTTGTATCATTTTAATCATTACTCTTAGTGAATACTTGTATTTACGTAGTCTAAATGGTGGTTACTTCTGTCTTGATTCCTGCCGAAGGATGTAAATTTTTCTTTAATAAAATTTCTGGAACATTCAGGCCGATAAGTGAAAATAAATAAATATACTGCTTAATAAATAAACGGAGCACCGACTCAAATACTAGTATCAACTAAAAATAATGTTCAAAATGTATGTGTGTGTGTGTGTGTGTGTGTGTGTGTGTGTGTGTGTTTTCCGTTATATACTCCCGTGTGAAGTATAGGGCCACAGCCTCGCCACGCTCGGTGTTTCTTCTTTGTTTTCAATACCAAGTAGCTTTTTACAGCATGGAGTTGCTAGGCACCACCCAACCTATATTGAAATCAGAATTTCTATTGTCCTAAATTGGTTGTCAAGCGAAGGTAGAGGGCCCTTTTTCCCTTTCATTAACCCCCTAGACTGGCAGTCAAAAGATGAATTCATACCTTTTCGCAAGGTTATTTGTGCGAAGTGAATTGCGGAATTTGAATTTGGCACTGCCTATTACGTTACTCGCACAATCGATGGCACTTCTATTTGGTACACCCCATCACGTTACGCGATATATATTTAAGCAGAAAGAATTCATTTAAACAAGATTTATAAAATTCAACCAACCTCTGTCTGCTTAATCTTTTTATTTTACAGGGTGTCTAAAAAAATTGACATCATTTTGTAGTCTAATAACATAGCTTCTCGGTCAAATGATCTCAACTTTTAAGTTAATTGTGCAGACTTATCTCAATAATAATGTACCAAGAATGGATCGGGATTGCCAGTGATAATGACAATATGCTGTTGAAATGGCCACCACGTTCAACTGACTTGGCACCTTGTGATTTTTTTCTATGAGGCTATGTGAAAGGACAGGTCTATATCTTCACTCTTCCTATATACCTAGAGGAACTTAAGCAGAGAATCACTAAGGCACTGTAGAATGTTACGCAAGACATGCTACAGCGCGTTTGGCAGGAACTGGACCACCAACTTGACGTGTGTCGTGTCACAGATAGTGCGCATATTGTAGATTTGTGAAACTTTGTGAAATCGGTTATAAAACCGACATCTCTTTGAATATCTTGTTCAAATTTTGATAAATAAATCTTTTATTGTTCAACAGGAAGCCTATTTAACTTCGTTTGCCTGGGACATATAGTTACTTAGATATTCACATTTTAAATTATGTTAATTTTTTTTTTTTTGGGGGGCACTCTGTATTTTTTCAAAAGTTGTTGAACATCCAGATTAAAAGTATGGATAAACTATTTTTTTCTCGACTACATTTGACTGTCTCCTTCATTATCAAGAAGTGAATGGTGCCAATATCGTAGATAAACGTTTTGTTCGCCTCATCCTGGCATTTTTGGAATTGTTACTTCCATCTTCTTGTTCAACAGGAATAGAGAATAATTCTTTGTTCCCTGTTTAGGATATAATTTACCAGTTCTTTCTCCTTCTATCATGGCCATAATGTTTCAAATGTCTTAACTTTTTGGTAATCGGACTAATCAGTGGCTGCGATTTTCCATT